ACCTAAACCCAAATTCTACTAAATGACAATTAATAAGAAAAAAGAATCATACCCTCGAACGACAATTAATAGGAAACAGAGAGAGTATCATATAACTACTTGAAATATAAATATATTAGTTGATAAATAATTTTATTTTTCTAATTAATATTAAAAATAATTTTATTATTGTTATAAAGATAAATATAAATTATTTTTTTATACATACAATATGGATGTTAAATCGAAGCTCATCAAAAGAAGATTAATTTGATATATTACATATGTAAAACTGATAATAAATACAAAAGTTATTAATTTTTAAAATATATATACAATTAAATAGTTATAATAAGGAAAAATATTAAAATACAATTAATACATGTAACATGACCATAAATAATTAACATATTTATGGTAATTCGAACCTAATTATTTTTTGTTTGGAATTAAATTAAAATTTACCAAGCGTAATAACGAAGCATGTAATTTTGCCATATAGGATTTCGAAGCACCAGAAACAACCACGTAAGCTCAGCGCCTTCTGTAATTATATATAGGGGGATTCATGTCTCTATATTTATAGATAACTCAAACTAAATTTCTAATTAAGATTTTCTATATCTTTCATTTGTCAAATTGAAAAGGCCGATACATTCTACGAATTTTAATTTTTTTTTTTACACATTCGATTAAACCTTTTCTTTAATTAAGGAGGCATAGTTATTATATTATTATTATTATTATCGTATCAAAAGAATTACAAGAAATTAGAGGGGAGCCGAGATACTATCTGGGCCCCACTCCTTTTGCAATGGAACTACATTTCTTATTATTATTATTAGTATTATTATTATTATTATTATTAAAGAACTACATTTTTTTATTAACAATAATACCGGCATTAGGGTTGATTGATTATAACAGACCACATTATCTCCTATGGAAAAGCAAAAGCAGGCGGCAGAAACAGAGGAGTCTCTTTACACAGCCATGGCCGACGATAGACTAACCCAACTGCCAATACATATACTTCACCACATTCTCTGTTTCCTCTCCCAGAAAGAAGCTTTGAGAACTTGTCTACTCTCCAAACAATGGCGCCACATAGGATCAACCCGCCCCAACCTCGAGTTTTCCGAACGGTTCGACAACACACAAGAAAAATCTGTCACCGTCGTCACCGTCGTCAACCGAATCCTACAAGGATTTTGTGATCAAAACCTCTCCGTACACCAGCTCCGTCTCGAGATAAGGAGGTCCGACTTACGACCGGTCACCACCCTTCTCGAAAAATGGATTCCGATGATACCCGCCTTCAACATAAAAGTGTTGAAACTCAACATTCTTTTTAATACTCAGGACCTCCCCTCGGCCATCTTCTTAGCCGAGTCCCTCGAAGAACTACACCTGTGCAATTGCAGGCTGTGTCCGGTCGAGAGCGTGCGGTTAAAAAGTCTGCGCGCACTCACCCTCGAACAGGTCCAAGTTGATGGCGGCACTTCCGAGACGATAATGT